AGAGCGTTTAAGTGGAGGAGCACAATGTTTGGTCAGACGTGTCCTGGATTGTCTACGAAATGATAGATTAATCTACAATATTATAGGAATATTTAACAATTTATAGATTGTATTTTTTATACATTATTTTCTAGATACTGAATTTAAAACATTTCTTGAAGTGGAGTAGTAGGTTATAAGTCAGACGTGTAACAAGAATGTGTATCCTAAATTTATGATTAAAAAGATATACAATTTTTGGGAGTCACAGGGAGACAATGAGTTTGATATACTCAATCGACAATTCCTCAAAAAATAATTTAGTTGATCCAGTATTTTATCTCACACAGAAAAATTTATGTTTTAAATTTTCATTAGCAATATTATAGGTCCCACGTGAAAACCTACAATGCATTGTCCTCTCTTCTTATTACATAAAGGAAAATATGAAAATCAACGACAAATTTATTTATCTCTACCTACGTGCACACTTATTCCTTATTTATTTTCTAATTTCCCATTGTACGTATGTCTTCCTGCTTCAAAGATATTTATTTATTTATTACCGCGCAATTAATTTAATTTATACGATTGAAAATTCTCTCTCGCCTTGTACTCCAACGAAAACACGAATTCCATCGGAGTTTTCATCGAACCTGCCGAATTGCGGCGTTAAAACAGCCGCCATGATTGGGTGCCGAGCCGACAGAAGACCGCGCTCGCGCGACGATCAAACGAAAATTAATCTTCATTTAATTCCACTGTAATTCCGGGCCGCGTTAATTCTCGCCACGCCTGTGGCCCCCCGCCGAGGCTGATTGATTTCGCAAGTGGACGCTGGTTTCATTAACCCTCGAATTAGCGCGACGAATTTGAAACGCGAGCGATCGATCTCGCTCGTCCAGGCGAGAACATCCGGATTTCGCGTGCGACCGCCACCCAAGTCGAAGTCAAACATCGAGTCCCGGCGTGGGCGAAAGGGATGAAAGGGACTCTGGGAACCCCGCAGCTATCGATATCCTCGGCTCCTAAAATAAACCGATCGGGACGCAGTGTAACCTAGGTCAAGTCGTTCGTGCGAAGAAATTATCCAGTCGTCTAGGAAAATACGGACGAGATGTTGGAGGGGAAGGATAGTGTTTGGAAAGCAAAGGCTTTTTGCTCGAAATCCTTTTCGAAACGCTTTCCTCCAACATTCACACTGGCGAGATAAAACGTGCAATTTTAATAATAATTAAATCGATACGAGGAAAATAAACGAGTATATGTAAGTAATTAAACAGGGTGGACCGTGTAATCTGACTAGCTTGATTATTTTAATTATTCCGTCACTGGAGTGACAATGGAAAATAATTTCGTCATATATAACTAGATCTCCAGAAACAACCCCCCAATTTTTGTTAAGTTCACTGTTACGCTAAAGAAGAAGAAAGATCGATTTTAATAAAATAAATGAAATTATTAAATATTAATAAATTTTTCCTAATATATTGTAGAGATAGGGTGCTGTTAAATAATATAAAACTATTTATTAACCATAAAATATAATATAGAATGTGCGGTGACGGTAAAGACTACGAATATAATCTATCAACTAAACTCTTACAACTACAACGACACAATTATACTTAACAACACCTTTTTTCACAACTCTCTGCTACGAACTCTAATATACTACACGTACTACGACAGACCACACACTCTTCACTTTCATCCGATACATTCATAAACATCCCGTCCATACGATCCTAGCGCACGGTCATTCGTCCTTTCGCACGCACTCTAGATAACATGCTCATCCTGCGATACCACAATATTGATAATTATCAAGGTATTAATTTTCAATTTTTTTAAATTTTTATAAAAATGAAAATTACACAATACTATAGCCATTGGATTAATCTACGCGATGATCATCTCGGTTCTACAGTAATTCTAGAATAATCATAGATAAATAGATCAATTATCGCTAGAGATATTGACAAATAACAATATTACGCTGAGTAAACCGAAGAGGGTTAAAATTAATTTTGACAGAAGCCAATATTATAATGTAAATTATATTCCAAAAATTCTTGTCTCCTATCATTTTACATAAAAAAAGAAAAATATTCAAAATT